CCAGGGAGGCGTCCAGGAGGCATCCTTACCAGATGTCCGAGCCACCTCAACTGGCTCCTCTCGACGTGGAGGAGCAGCAGCCCAAAATGAACTTTTTAAACTGTCTAGAATGTGTCTAAAATGTTATATAGTACTGTTTCTGTGCTAATTTTGATGTTTTTGTGCGTATTTGTTCAAATATGTAATATTTGGTCTAAAACGTGTTTTCGCTGCTCATATGGGTAGAGCAGTGGTACTGCAGGCTAATTTGCATATTGGTTAATGGTTCTCCACTGTGACGTGTCTTCTCCAAAGTTTCGTCACAGCAGCTGTGTTCTGGTATAAAAGCCTCTCTCTAAGACACGCCCCTGCAGCAGTCAGAGGGTYGAACAGTTAGCAAGCTTAGCATGATCGTCTGTTGACCTTCAGCCTCGGGTTCTAAAACGCTACACCTTTGGCCCTTTTGTTTGGTGTGGGTTCTGATCACACACCCTCTGCCTTAATGAAATAAAGAGAAAAGAACTGTTTTTACACCAAAGGCTAAATTAGCTGGGTGGGAGTGCTTTTTGCCACACTGTTTGCATTTTTCCCGCCACCATGAAACTCAGTGTGAAATGCCCCTATCTGAAATATTGGACTAACTTTGTGCTTTTCTGACTGGCTTATTATTATGCATTTTAAATGTTTCACTGTTTTGCCTACAATGCAATTATGTCTGTGCAATGTTTGAAATTTCCTGTTTTTTTTTCTCTCAGGTATTGGTTGTCGCCCTGGGTAGTTGGGTTGGTATTTGGCTCCCCCTCCTGGGCAGTATCAGGATTACCCCTGGTCTTTTTCTGAGGCCCATCTCATAACATAATTTTTAAACACTTAGACACTTCTGTATGGTTGGGGTTGTGTTTTTTAATTTTATGGTTTGTTTTCTTTGTTTTGGTTTATGATTTCATAGTGTTTTTGTCCTTCTGTGCAGTTTCCTGATGAAGTTTAGGTGATTGTCAGCTGAGTCTCAAGGAGACTCCTGCCACGACAGTCATATTTTTGTTTATTTGTTCCTTTCTGAGTTTGTGGTAAGCTGGGGAGGGGGTATTCTGCTACCTCGAGCCTGGTACGCCACAAAGACATATTTGAGGGAGAATTCACCCGTGTGGGTTTTGCTGTTGAGGTCCTGGGAGCTGAGAGTTGCTGTCTAACAATGTCTATGTCATTCACAGAAGGACTAGATCTAAGCTTACTTTAGGGTTTAGCTTAGGTGTAACAAGAGGAGGGGGGTGCTATTTCTTTTAGTTTAATTTATTTAGACTTTGGATTTAGATTTTGTTTGTTATTTTTTGTTAAACTTTTGTTTTTTGTTTTCTTCTCTTCATTGCACAAGCCAGCTCATGCCAATAATCCATACATTTTGAGTTCATGCCTTATGGGCACTGTGGTTTTTGTTTTTAGTGATTTTAAATTGTTTTGGGTGGAATAAAGTTTACCTGAATGGGGTGGGAACTGAATTTTGCACATTGTCCTAATTTGCATTACTTAAGGTTCATTTATTGACAACTAGTTGTTATTAAGTTAACACATTATCCAAGATAATGTCATCTAATTCACTGGGAGGCAGAACTTGTTTTTTGATACCTTGTCTAAGTTTTGGACTTTTGAGTTTTTTAAATTTCGACATGTTTTTTTCTTCATCGATTCTTCTGATGTGTAATGATGTTTCATTTGTCATTTATGGCTTTTTCCTGTTGTATCGTACATTGCTTGAATGTACATGTTGTTGGTCGTCATTTAACTTGCACTACTTTTCCCTTATTTTTCCATTGTATTTGTTGTTGGGTGATACATTTGTGTTTGGACGTTTCATAATTATTCCATTTGGTTTGGTTTTGAGTATTGTTTACTCAAGAGGAGGGATTGTTATGGATTAATTATGTATATCTGTTCTACCTTGACACTGTCCAGTAATCATATCTTTTTATAACCACTTTCAGCTGTTTTACTCTATCAGCCCAGAATTCAAGACTCTAGCAATGCATGAACTCTCTTTATTTTGATAAAGTAGCTGCTGGGCTGAGAGCCCTGTTATTGGTTGAGTGTTTACAGTTGTTGAATTGTGATTGGTTGTACACTGTCACATGATGTTATATCATTGGCTGCGCTACGCTGACGCGGCAGTCACAACTCAACAGATTTCCTGATTGACCGTCTGCTGGGCTGTTGCTCAGAATTAAATCATTTTGACGACCATACCCGCAGACTTTCCGTGCATTTATTCCAACGTGTTTCTGCATTCTTGGTAAATCATGCCACGACACACGCAGCAGCGCATCAGATTCCAGGATGGCGAAAGAGCGCTAGTTGTTTAAAAATTAATACCTCGTCAGATGGCGTTTATTACCTTTTAATACTTTTTAATGGCTTTAATTTTTGCTTATTTGATTTACTACCTTTTTATACTTTTTTACAACCCCGCGGATACCCTGGACTCCATATGCCATGATGATTTATACCGGAAGTGTTTTTGTTTGTTTGTTTTGCAAGGGAGAGCGTATTTTTAATGGCTTGTAAACTTTGACAATCTTGTCGTAATCGTCCTTGTAATCTTTTGTTTTACCATTTTTTATTCACTTAAGTTCATCTGAATATTGATCACGCTTCTTATCGTTTTTGGATTAGCCATATAATTATAACAGGGATCCCTGATTAGTTTTAACAGTAGACTTTATTTGACAAACATATATTTTAACTGTAAAATATTGTGTTTTATAGTTTAGTTTTGTAAATCAGTTGTAAACCAGTTTCAGTTGGCTGTTTAGTTTTGTAAATTTTTAAAAGTATATTTTAACATGAACGGAACCATTTTATTTACATGCAAAGCATTCTGGGTAAATGATGATGTGGATAGGTCCTCGGAGTGAGCGAGCTATATCCACCCTGAAGGTTAATCTTGGACAATATCTGACGATTGGCTCTTTTAATGAAACCAGAGAGCGTTGACAGAGAGGAGAAGACAGAAACGACTCGGTCTGTAACTGAAAATATAGATGGACAACAGAGCTGCTTCATGGAAGAAGAACCTTAGCTTAGTCTGTTCATCTTTGTGCTAGCGCCGACGCTATATTGCCTTATATGTATTAGCTCAGCGCTGGCGTGACAATCAAGCTAAACTGAGGTCCTCCATCCATATTCTCAATTAAAGGCTGAGACATTTTTCTGTTCCCCTCTCTGTCATGTGGATGGAGGACCTCAGTGATGAGAGGAGAATGTGTAGCGCTGAGCTAATACATACCTGTATATATGGTGATAGTGTTGGGGCTAATGCTAAAGCTAACAGGCTAAGCTGAGGTTCTTCTTCCATGAAGCAGCTCTGTTGTCCTCTATCCATATTTTCTGTTACAGGCTGAGCCGTTTCTACCTTCTCCTCTCTGTCAACGCTCTCTGGTTTCATTTAAAAGAGCCGATAGTCAGATGTTGTCCAAGATTAACCTTCAAGGTGGATATAGCTCACTCACACCACAATAATGTGCGCCATGCTGACAGCATTGATTATCATGCCAGTTCGGGAACAATTTTTGTCTATGTGAAACATAGGTTCTTCACCATTTAACACTTTAAATGCCATTTGGGATGTCCTTAGCCCAAAGGCACAACTATCATCAGAGCTGAAATTAAGGTTTGATGTTTGATAGCAGCTTTGTCCTGTTCTTTATCTCCATGACAAAGATCATTGTTCAAGAAAAATAGACGTCCTAGGCATTAATGATGCACAAGATGAGAGCAGAATGGTCATGTTCACATGCTTTGAATATTAACATTAAATGGCCATTATTAACAGTTATCAATCCCATCCATAGTCTGCAGACTGCCCCTCCTCTACCTCCTTGTAGGTTGATAAGCACTTATGCCAGATTTTATGCATTTAGGCACAGTGGGTTTATCTCCTTCCCTGGGACGTAGAGCTCAAATCAAGTGGTTGGCCTGGCTGGCTGTCCAAATTTGACCGATGGAAGCACTCGATCTACGGCGTGAAGATCCAGGCTGTAGCCAGTGGTCGCCCCAGATGTTGCTAACAGTTGCTAACAGACAGACGGCAGAGTTTTCTGGGTCTGCTCAGACATGTTTCAAACTTTTTTTAAATAAAAAAGACGCTTTTAATTCATCACCTCCCAGAAAGATGCACAGAGTTTAGAGTTTTAATTCATGCAATACTTTAATCCAACAGCTGCAAGGCTGGTAAACTAACTAACTAACTAACTAACTAACTAACTAACTAACTAACTAACTAACTAACTAACTAACTAACTAACTAACTAACTAACTAAAGGACAAAGTTATTTTTAGAGGTAATATAATAATATGATGCAAAAAGAGACATATATGGAGAGGAAATAATGTGTAAAAGCAATAAAAATAATTAAACATTAATATTTAAGGCGGACTTGTTACTGGTGAATAATAAACTGACGTAGGGTAGAGGAGGTACATGAGCAAATGAAAAAAATCACTCACACCAAAATACTAACACTTCAGAAATGGAACTCAGATCTGTCTTCATGGGCCTGACATTAGCTGTGAGTTTAACACTGCTGTCAGTGATTCTGACTGGTGCTGGTGTCAGTACTGAAGATTCATCAGTAAAATGTACCCTGCAAGGTACAGCTCGTTTACCTGCATTTGCAATGGAAGGTGACTTTGTTATTGGAGGTGTTTTCTCTATGCACTACAAAATGCACACAGTGATTTATGACTACACCACTAAGCCTGAAGCTTTAAGATGCACAGGGAGGTAAGTATGAGGAACTGCTGGTGGGAAAAAGGTTGTCAAAAATGTAAAAATGTCAATTATGTGATTTGCAGCAAATAATAATTTGAAGAAAATAAATTTTATTTTTATCAAGTACTCCTGGATTTTTTTTGTACTACATTAAAATGTTGTTTGTTTAATGTGGATTTAATTTAATTAAAATATTTAATAAATAAAGAATTGATGATTTGTACATTTTGATGCCTATTACTCTGTGTGTGTATAAATATGTATGTGTATAATATAATCAGCAAGCCTACAGCAATTCTAATTGCAGATAACATTAAATGTCCACTGTCCAAAATAGACCTCATTTATTACAGTGTGTGTTTTTGTTGGTTTCATATTTTTCTCTGTGCAGTGTGAATAATCAAAATCTGCGTTTCTGTCGTACAATGATCTTTGCCATTGAGGAGATAAACAACAGTACAGAACTGCTGCCGGGAATCAAACTTGGATATCAGATATTTGACTCATGCTCCTCTGGTCCTGGGGCCGTAGATGCGGCATTTCAACTATCCAATGGTGAAGAGCCAATGTTTTATGAAGGCAACAATTGTTCCCAATCTGGTGTGGTGATGGCTGTCGTTGGAGATTCTGGATCATCACAATCCATCGGCATATCACACATCATTGGGCCCTTCAACATCTCAGAGGTAAACAGTCTGTTATTGAAAAATGTTGGCATAAAATATAATTTAGATTTAAAAGCTAAAACAGCATTTTGGTTTTATGTAGGTGAGTCACTCTGCCACCTGTGCCTGCCTGTCTGATAAAAAGCAGTACCCAACATTTTTCAGGACAATTCCCAGTGATCAGTTCCAAGTTGACACATTGGTAAAGATGGTGAAATATTTTGGCTGGACTTGGATTGGTACTGTTCACTCAGACACCGATTATGGAAATTATGGCATGGCATCATTTCTTCCAGCTGCAAAGGAGGAGGGGATCTGTGTGGAGTACTCTGAATCATTTTATCGAACTGACCCACGTAGCAAGATCCAGAGAGTGGCTGATGTTATCCGTAGGTTTGTACTTGATTTTTTTTTGATAGTAGAAAGAAGGGATATTTGTTTAAAAACAAATAAAATACTATTGAAGAGATGATTATTTTATCTGAATTATCTA